TCTGTGGGATTCCAACAGAGCCTTGTGTCCAGTGGGTCTCTGGTGTTCCAGCTTCCTGGCAGTTGCAATGGTACAGAGGAGTAAAGAAAGGTCCTAGCAAAAATGAGTAAGTCCCAGGCACCCAGGGCAATCAGGTAGACCTCACAGAGACATAAGCGGGGCTGCAGGGACTTGGGGTCACGAGGCTTAGGTAGAAGGCAGGCTAGAATGCATACAGACTTCAGAGGACAGAAAGGGTTTGGCTAGCTGGAGAGGTTGGGTAAGAGGGTAAGGGTCTGGGTAAGAGAACAAAGGTTTGGAATGGGTCTCAGAGGAAGGCAAACCCTGTCCCACTAGCCACCAGGGCTGCTTTGGCTCATATGGTCTTGCCTCTTGGTGAACAGAGGCTACAAAGTAAAGCAGATGGCCAGTGGGGGAGGGGCAGGGGTGGCCTCAGGCATGAGCTAAGAGAAGCCAAGTGACCCACATAGTCCAGGGTTGAAGACCTTGGCACTAGCACTTGAGCTCTCAACTTGAAAGTTAATGTTCAACTGTGGCTAATTTCTGTTGGCATTTGCCTGGAAATTCCCAAGCCTGCCCCGTCCTTTGGCTTGGGCACTCCAAGAATACAATCTCATTAAGTTTGGCTAAGAGCATCTCACCCTCTCTCTGGGGAACAGCTTTTAAAACTGCCGTGAGACCTCTGCTGGTTACCCATGAGGAAGAACTGGTTCTGGGTGGTGGGCTGGGGAACTGGGGTGGGTGGTTTGGAGTGTAATAAAGTTTGAGGCTCATCCTAACCCAGTGTGTCAAGTGCTGTTGAAAGGAGCCCAGTTGGTATTCATGATGTCCCCCAGTTAGCTCAGAACAGATGTGACAAGAACTCAGTCTAAGGTAATGTGGAAAGTGTGCATCAGTTACAACTGGAGAGAGCAGGATTTGGCTGGGTAGAGAATGCACTGTCCCATGCAAAGACCTGGGTCAAGACAGTCCAGGAAGGTTGAGTACAGAGATTTCTGTGAACACAGCAATAAGTGAAGAGCTAGGAGATTGGGGAATTTGACAATGACAAGTACTTGCAATAGAAAGTCAGAGGTAGAGCCGGGTGCATTTGTTTGGGGTTATGCTCGTTTGGGTCTTGATTTTGTTGGTCAGCAAGACTTTCTAGATAGCCTGCTCCCAAATTCTGCCCAGGGCCAGGCACCTGTGTGAAACCTGAATTAGAGAGAAGAGATCATATGTGACAACCAGAAGGGTTGATGACAGGAATACACAGGAGCCCTGAGACTTTGGTAAGAGTACAAGGAAGGGAGAGGCTGAAGCATGACCTCATTCTGAGTCTTGAGGTGAACAGAGCAGTGTTGATTGGGGTCAACCTCAGGAATTCCATGCTCCTTTCAGGCTGAATCTAGCTACTCTGGAGGTCACCCCTGTCCCATGGGAGCCATGTGGCTCTACCTAGTCACTGTGTGCACAGTTGATGGCAGAGCAGGGTCTGGTTTCGGAGTCTCACCTCTGCATCGGCTTGATGTACCCATACCCTTACTCCATAGGTTCCTGAAACCTGAAGGATATTCCCTGAATCCCAGGCTACTTTTTCTGAATGAAGGTCCAAGTATCTGAGAAAGGGACCTTTTGCTGCTCCCCACTTTGCAGACTGAATTTCTTCCAGTGATGCCATTACAGTCCCTGATGTGATGGTATACATCTTCTCTCCATAAAACATCTCCCTGAGACAGCAGCTTTCTCCACTGAGGGTGTGATCCACACTTGGCAGAGCCTCTGCTGCCGCAAGTGACAGCCCCGAAAAACATTCAGGAAGACCAGTGTGTGCTGGGAATGGCTAGAGGAGCTGGGTATGGTCAGGCTGAGCAACCCATCTGGGCCTGGGATCCTCACATGGCCTCTGGCTGTGGCTGGTGTTAGTATTCTGTCTAAACTCCACCTCCACAGTTATCTGGCAACAGCCAGGTATGCTCCTCCCCACAGTTACCTGGCAACAGTCAGGTAGGCCTGGCCCACTAAAAAAGGGTCTGTTTGCCCCCTCCTCTCTCTCTTGATCATTTGATCTCTTGCCTCTAGCTTCTTTCTGTCCCCTCCTGACTCCCCCTTCACTTCCCCCCTCTCTACGTGGTCATGGTTGGCCTCTACTTCTCTTCTTCCTCTCTCTTCTTCCTCTCTCCTCTCTTCTTCCGACATCTTCTATTTCTCTCCCCCTACCTTTGCCCGATCTCCTGAATAAACAGCCCCCTTGGAACCGTTTAGTCTAGTGTGGTGTGTCCTAAGCTGCGTGCAGAAGTCTAACAGCTGGTCCCTCCTCTGTGAGGCGGGGCAGTATCAGGTATCTTCTGGCTCCCACAGCCCTAGTGTCTGGGTCTTTGGTCTGGTTAGGCAGCAGTGGGGAGCCTGTCTCCCAAGGGTAGCATTGCCAAGCCTGTCTGTGACTGAATGCAGCAGGGTCTTGGACCTGCAGCCTCCAGGCCTGTGTCACGCTGGCTTAGGTGTCCTGAATCAGAACCAGGAAATGGATCTGCCATCCCAGTGTGGTGGGAATACTGGCCAGGGCAGCTAGGGTGAACCCTAAGCTCCTGTCTGTGTATACTGAGGGTGCTAGCCTCCAATCTATTAATGCCTTCTGCTCCCTGTGCTCAAGCTGCCATCCCACCTAGGCAGCAGCTGCCACCCAATCAGGTCCGGGCAATGTTCAGATTTTACCAAGGCTATCCCCTTATTCTACTCCCACTTACCCTCATGGCAGTTTCCACCCCCATCTAAGAATTCCCCCAGGAATTACTTCAGTGAATCCTTCCTTGGCGGCTAAGGCCACCAAGACTGTCCTGTCTTCTCTGCATCACTTCCCCATGCACCTCTAGTTTTGCCTATATCACTGTATAACACAGTCACGATCTCTTGAAATGACTTCTCCACCACCTCTGCCATTATTGGCCCCCGAGGGCCTGATATATAGTAGGTGCTCAATAAAAGCAGGCCAGATTTGAGCCTCCTGTACTCGGTACTGGAGTCTCCCTTTGTTAATGATGTGGGGAAGAGCGGAGGGTTGCAGGCTTACAAGTGCAATACCTCACCTGTCTGCCCCCACATACCCCTACCCAAGGTGACTGCTGGGGCTGGGGCCAGCCTGCTGATGGCTTCTCTCCAGCCACTGCTTTCCTTGCTGCCTGAGTGATCACTCCAGAAAACACCCCAGTGGTAGCTGCATGAATGATTGATAAGGGCTGAGAGCTATTTAATATTTTCCTCCTGTTTAATGGCTATCAATAATTTAATATGCTCTCTATGTTTTTAAGAAGTAGCACCCATGCCGGTCGGTGGTGGAGCACGCCTTTAATCCCAGAACTTGGGAGGCAGAGGCAGGCAGATTTCTGAGTTCGAGGCCAGCCTGGTCTACAGAGTGAGTTCCAGGACAGCCAGGACTACACAGAGAAACCCTGTCTCGAAAAAAACAAAAAACGAAAAACAAAACAAAAAAAAACAAAACAAAAAAAAACCAAAGAAATAGCACCCATTTTGCTGTCTCTGGTTTAGCAGGCTAAATGATTTAAGTGTTGGAAGTGTGCTCAGAGGATTGAGGTGGAGCGAAGGAGTCAGAAATCTGGAGTGGTAGTGAGGGCCACCACAGCGTCTTGGCCAGGGATGAAGTGTGTGTGTGTGCGCGTGTGTGTGTGTTTAAAAGGGCCCATGTCTTTCTACTAAGAGCAAGATAATTGCTTTTCTGGAGCCTCACTGAACAGCAGACAAACAACTGTTGCTCCCCAGACCCAACTCCATGCTAAGCATGGGGCTCTCGGGTCTCGGGAGCTGGGAAGGAGCTGGACTGCTACCACCGCTATGGGATGAACCCCCAATCTTACCCCTGCTCTTTCCTAAAGCCTTTAAATCATTGTTAATGATGTGTTCAGGTCGTTGCCCTGGAGGGCTGGTATCTTCCAGATGGGTTTGGGGAGGTGGAGATCGATAATCTCTGGGCTCAGAAGGACCTGGAAGGTCACCTGCCAGTGTTGCCTATCTTTCCAGATGCAGAAGATCACCTGGAAGGTCTTGTTAATGTAGGATTTTTGGGTCTAAATGTAGGACTTTCGGGTCTCGGTTTGAACTTAAAATTGAAAGAATCCCACTGTCCCAGGACACAATCCCCGGAGGGGCACATTCCTTAGTCAGAGGACACTTGCTGGATTAACATTCCTCAGACCATGGGGGAGGGAACCCACCTTCGGGTGAGGAAGGCCCAGAGCGTGTAGACAAAAAGGGAGGTCCTTGCCACCTTTCCCCAAAGACCAATCAGTTTAAAAATCACACTGTTCTGCCAATCTGGGAATCTGGGTACTGGGAATCTGCCACTGAGGGGTAGGCAGGTATCTGTGGTCACCTGAAATAGGAGATCTGGCTTGAGGAGCTGGGTGGGGAAATGGCTCATTTCCCAATTTCTATTTTGTTCCAGAGCTCCCAAGCTGGAGAGAAAAGGTCATGGGCCTAGCCTGGTTCTTGGGCATGTGGTTTTATTCTACTGTCAAGGCCCTGTGTAGACTGCTGGGAGCCAAACCCATGAAATTACCCACTGTTCTGGGAAGCCTAGTCAGTTAAAGTACAAGATTAAGAAAGGACATTTTCGCTGGCAGTGGTGGCGCACGCCTTTAATACCAGCACTTGGGAGGCAGAGGCAGGTGGGTTTCTGAGTTCAAGGGCAGCCTGGTCTACAGAGTGAGTTCCAGGACAGCCAGGGCTATACAGAGAAACTCTGTCTCGAAACACCCCCCCCCGAAAAAAAAAAGAAGAAGAAAGGACATTTTCTCTCTTGGGTTCCAGGAACTGAAAGAACATCTTGTATTTTCCAGAAGCCAGTTGCCACAGTGGGTTGGCCTTAGGCAATGATCCTTGCCTAAACTTTCCATTTTGCTATGCCTTTATAACCTGCCACCTGAAAATAAAATTTGAGAACTTGATCAGAACCCTCAACTTGTTCTCTTCTGTGTCTCTTGTCCATTCCTTTGCCCCCTCCCTAGGTCCTTGTTGAATTCCCTGCGGGCCAGGGCAATTGGTGCCTAACATCGGGCATTTGAGTCAGGGGTCTGATCAAACATTGTTGCTCTTCCATGGACATCCCTCAATCATAGGATCACCGCTTCCCCGTGAACTCAAGAGAAGATCCCCATTGTGATCGCAACAGAGTCGCCCACCTGTGAGACTGATCCCGTTTAAGGTAAGATAGAGCAACGCAATCATGGACAAGCATTAAGTAAGCATGATTTATTCTTAAAGAATCTCACGGAGTCCCTCAAGACATGAAGAACTCCTGTCAAGAAAAAAGATCTTAAACAATTCTTTGATTTCATTGATGATGTTTGTCCATGGCTCCCCCAAGAGGGGACTATTGATGAGAAAAGATGGGCTAGGGTTGGAGATTACTTAAAAGATTTTTATGGCACCTTTGGTCCTGAGAGAGTCCCTGTTCAAGCATTTTCCTATTGGAACCTGGTGAATGATATACTTAAGGTCAACAAATGGCCAGACATAAACAATGGCCAGACATTCAGGAGATAGTAAAAGAGGGAGGAAAAAGTCCTACAATGACACTCCTGATCACCTTCTGTTTGTGAATCTGTTTCTACCCCATGCCAGATTCAGAGTCCCCTGCCCCCCAACCCCCCGACTCCCCAAGGCTGCAATGGCTGAGGTGGCACCCATAACCCCCCCCACACACACACACACACACTAACCTCTATCCTTCCCTTGTGATCTGGCCAAGAATGGGCCTGATGATGGTCTCTGTCCCAAAGAGGCATCCTCTCTAGAAGAAGAGGCAGCCAAATATAATCCTGACTGGTTGCTCCTGCACTCCTTTTGCCTAGACCACTTCCTTATGCCACTGCTCCCCCATTTTGCACCCCCATTCCCGATTTAGACATCTCAGACTCTACAGAAAAAGCAAAAGCCAAACTCTGTCGAGAAGTGGCTTCCCATAAAGAATTGTTACATAAAAGAAGGGAACATTTACAATTGATAAAAGAACTTCGGCTACAGAGTGAGTTCCAGGATAGCCAGGACTACACAGAGAAACCCTGTCTCGAAAAACCAAAAAAAAAAGAAAAAGAAAAAAGAAAAGAAAAAAAGAAAAGGAGGCTTCAGGAGATTCAGAGGAAGAAAAGGAAGAGGTTAAAGATCAGCAATATCACCGTCTAGCGTTTAAACATGTAAAAGACCTAAAAATGGCAATGACAAATTACGGACCAATGGCCCTCTTAATATCCTTAATTGAAAATTTGAGTGATTGGTGGCTTGTCCCCAATGATTGGTATTTTGTAGCACATGCCACCCTGGTGGGAGGCAATTATGTTCTTTGGAAGACCAATTTTACTGAAGACTACAAAGAAATAGCACTTCACAGTTCTGAACGTAAAACCTCAAAGAAGTGGACCAAAGATAAACTTTTAGGATAGAGCCCTAATGATACTAACAAAAACAGGCTCGGTTCCCTCCTGGCCTTCTAGCCCAAGTTGAAAATGCGGTTCTTAAGGCCTGGAAAGGACTCCCTCCCAATTGGTCGGCGATCACTTCTCTAGCCAAAGTCTGCCAAGGTCCCAACGAGCCCTACAGCAGCTTCATCAGCCGCCTTACCACCCCAGCTGAGAGGCTTGTTGGCCACACCTTGAGAACACCCTGCAGCCTGTCAGGCCGCCATACAGCCCCACCTTAGTGGTGGCAAAATGTTCTGATTATATAAAACTGTGTGCAGGCATTGGTTTAGCTCATGCGATGGGACTTGCCATTGGAGCTACCCTTAAAGACTTTACTCAGGGTGGCCACCCAAAAACTTGCTTTAATTGCAAACAGCTAGGGCATTTCTCTAGGGAGTGAAAAGCCCCTAAAACAGAATGTACATCTCCTGCCTCCTTGTGTCCTCGCTGCAAACGAGGGAAACATTGGGTTTCAGAGTGCCCTCCCTAGATAGAAAGAGCATGCCCTATATCACCAGACCCTTCACCTACTATTTAGGATTACTCGTGAACAGGCACACCAAATTGTTGAACAATGCCCCACCATTGTCATACTTTTGCCCACTCCCCATCTGGGCGTTAATCCCAGAGACTTGGTTCCAAATGAAATATGGCAAATGGATGTCACACATCTTCCTGAATTTGGCAATATTAAATATCTTCACATGACCATAGATACCTTTACTGGATTTATTTTTGCTACTTTACATACTGGAGAAGCTTCCAAAAATGTTATAGCCCATGTTTTAAATTGTCTCTCTGTCATGGGTAAGCCTAAAATTATTAAGACTGATAATGGTTCTGGCTACACTAGGAAAATTTTCCAAGAGTTTTGCCACCAGTTATGAATCAGACATATTACTTGCATTCCCCATAATCCCCAGGGACAAGGCATTGTTGAATGTACCCACCAGACTATCAAAAACACTCTACATAAGTTAAAGAAGGGAGAGTTATACCCCGAGAAGGGGTCCCTAAAAATATTTTCCATCATGCCTTGTTTGTTCTCAATTTTCTAAATCTGGATGCTCATGGCAAATCTGCTGCCGATCACCTCTGGCACCCTGAGACATTAAAAATTATGCCACAGTTATGTGGAAGGACATTCTTACTTTTAAATGGAACGTCCCAGACCCAGTTCTCATATGGGGCCAAGGATCAATATGTCTGTTTGATACCAATGAAGGCGTGGCTAGATGGCTGCCAGAAAGATTAGTGAAACAAATAGATGCTTCTTCAAAGATAGATCCCCCTACCGAGATCCCTGCTGATAATTGAAAATTCAGGGAAAAGATATCCCTGATAATTTTCTTTTTCTCTCTCCTCAGGATATGATGATGAGACACCCACGGTGTTTGCTCTTGAAAAGCTTGACCCTGGCACTGGTCTGGACATCCATAGGAGCAAGTAATGATAATCCCCATCAGCCCCTCAACCTAACCTGGCAAGTGATTAATGGAGAAGGAAAGGTCGTGTGGAGCACCTCAAAGGTCACATACCCTAAAACCTGGTGGCCTAGCCTTTATCCTGATCTCTGCAAACTGGCTGTAGGTGCCCCTGCTAATTGGGACCTTCAGGGGTATTCAAACTTTCAAAGGGCTCCATCGTCGCCCTCTCCCCTCGGCAGACATGGCCTTGATCCTTGGGGCGGATGTGGCACTAAAGACAGAAGGAGCATGTTAAGAGTACTTACCTTCTATGTCTGTCCCGGTTATCACCGCAACCTATCTTTGAACCCAAAGTGTGGGGGTAAAAACGAATTTTTCTGCAAAAGTTGGGGGTGTGAAACGACAGGCGACACCTATTGGCATCCCTCCTCCTCCTGGGACTTAATCACGGTCGCTGCCAATTATACACATCATAAAACAGGAAGTCAAGGAAACCCAGGTTGGACTAACATTCCAGATTGTTCAGACTGGTGTCACCCACTTCATATCCAATTTACAGACCAAGGAAAAAAGAATAGTAAATGGACCAGTGGCCACTCTTGGGGTCTAAGGCTTTACAAGGAGCGCTTTGATGACGGCCTACTATTTACCATAAAGCTGCTGATGCAGCCGCCTGGGGTTGGTGAGCTGGTGGTGCCTATTGGACCAAACCGTGTCTTGAATTCCTTGTCCCCACAAAAACAGCCCTTTAATCCTGCTTACCCCACTGCTCCCTTTCCTCCTGATGATATTTAAACCTGATATGTGGGGCCGTGGGCTGTGAGAGGCAGCTGGGTACCTAGTCAAACTTGCTTGGAATCCTCGAGACCCTAAAGGTAGGTGTTTGGCCTTGCTCCTGGGCCCTGGTTCCTTTCACATAGCAACAGCCTCTAAAGCCACTTTCACAGAGAGGTTTGTGGCCATCTATCACGTAGCACAGGTAGAGGGCATGGCTACAGGCTGCAGAGCCTCAAGACATCTCTACATTCATGAGATACTTAAAAGTCAGAAGGCATTGCCAATTAAGCATTCCTTCCAGACCCTCCTTCTTGCAAAAGGTATTTAACCTCAGGCCGGCTATGAGAACATGGGATATAGCTTCCTCTATTTCCTGCCATGACAATAAACATTTTAAGACCATGGACTACCTCTCGTCTTTGGGACCCGCCTTGGGGAACTGTGGAGGTCTAACCTCCCTCTGGCAACCTACGTTCGAGCCACGGAGGCCAACTCAAGCAAGCTAGCCAAGCCAGCTGTGATCCAGCCAAGAGTCTCCTCCCCTCGGGACACCGCCCAGATCTTCTCCCTCGCCCCTTCAGCTGCGTTGATCCAGCCTGTACGACCCCTGTTTCGTTCCTTCTGAGGCCTCTCAGCGGTGCCTGAGAGCCCAAGGGCTTGAGACCAGTTGGTCCCCGCCTCCTGTGCTCTGATTTCATTTTCAAGTTCTCTGTCCTAGGTTATTCGGGTTCTCTGATTTGTTTCAAAAAAAAAGAAAGAGAAAATAATCTGAGTAACGTCAGTTTTTGATTACACAAGTTCTGGAAACTCCTGGCTCGGGAATGATCAGTTCCTATGGGCAAATTCTTCCTCAAATTTTTAGTAAATATAAATAAATAAATAACAAATAAATAAGCCAGATTCTCCTCTACTTTCTTTAAAAAACAAAGAAAACAAAACAAAAAGACACTTTTTTTTCTCTCTCTGGTCCTCTTAATATCCTAAACAATGAACTTTAATAAACAAAAGAGGTGACAGAAGCTAATATTTATTTAGTGTGTGCCTGATATAAACCAAGTACTGTGCTAGCATTTGGCATTTAATAGTTTTAATGATAACTCCTAAGTCCTGCTTCGGGGACACCAGCAGTTCCATCTCTTATGTTTGTAGGGTTTTTTTTTCTGTTGTGTAACCAGGTTCCCATCCCCAGTTTTGAATATTCACACTCCAATTCTCTAATCTTTTGGTTAACACCTTGTAGTTTGACCCTTGATTATTTTGCTGAGTGATTAGTGCCTCTACAATAAGTGTTGATCTCTCTTTTAAAATACCTCAAAGCTTTGTCTGCCCTTTCCTAAGCGTTTCTACCCCAATCAGGGTATTCCAGAGCAGATATCCCTGTTGTGAGCCCTATCTACAAGGCGTTTCCCTTGTACACTACCGGCTCAGGAAAGACCTGTTTCTAATCTTTTGACACAGTTAAAATTTAGTATTCCACGTCTAGGTTGCACCCACAACATACAGCAGACTCCTTTTGTGGGTAGCTTGTTACTGCTGAAGGCAGAGCCTGATGTTAACAAAAGTAGCGAGTCGACTTCTAGAGGGCGCCCTCGGCAGTTGTATCCAGGAAGAGTGGATCCAGATCTAAGTCAAGATAGCGCCTTGCTGAGTTTAAGGCGCCCTGTGCTCAGTGGCACTAGTGTAAGAGCTGGAACCTTCTCTAAAGCAGCCAGAGTAGCTGTCAACGCTCTGCCGACCAGTGTGAGAGCACTACCAGCACTCTGTATCCAATTTTCTCCTATAGCGTACATGAACTAGTGTGTGAACGAAGTTGGTCTCTAATACAGGCTAGAGCAGAGGTTCTCAACCTGTGGCTCGCACAGGGGTCACCAAAGACCATCGGGAAAGCACAAATATTTATTTACATTTTGACTCATAACAGTAGCAAAATCACAGTTGACAAATCTTATCATTTGTGTCATCATTGCAATTAAGTTTGTTATCACACACACCTTTAAAGTGAGATCCACTTTTGTATCATCATGCATCCCATTCATTCACTCCTTGGTATTCATACAGCAAACATTCTCAACCCATTTTACAGGTCAAAAAGTGGAGGTCCAAAGAGACTTAAATTACACAGCCATGTACTAAGTAAAGTTAAGAATTTAAGGTCACTAAGCCTGGCGTGGTGGCACATGCTTTTAATTCCAGCACCCAAGAGTCAGAGGCAGGGGGGTCTCTTAGTTCAAGGCCAGCCTGGTCTACATAGTGAGTTTCAGGACAGCCATGGCTACACAGAGAGACTTCATGCCTGAAAACCAAAAGATAAATTAATAATAATATAATAAATAAAATAATTTAATGACATATTAAAAGGATTTCACGCGCAGCTTGGACAGATCACAGCAGACTAGACGGTTCCACGAGGGAAGGTTTATTAAGAGAGTGGGAGAGCAGGAGGAGAGAAAGAAGAGTAGAGAGGGTAGAGGCCAGCCATGACCACGTGGAGAGAGGGGGAAGGGCAGGGGAGAGGGGAGAGGACAATCTCCAGGTGCTGGGTCAAGGGGCCAAGAGAGAGAGGAGGGGCCAAGCAGCCCCTTTTATAGTGGGCAGGCCTACCTAGCTGTTGCCAGGTAACTGTGGGGAGAAGCATACCTGGCAGCTGCCAGGTGACTGTGGAGGTGGAGTTTAACAGATTACTAACATTCTCACGTTTTGGTTTAATTAAAAAGAAAAGTTAGAAAGAGGTGACAGCAAAGCAGGAATAAGGTTGTTGTGAAATCTGGCTACTTCCTGCTGACATTGGGGACGACGTGTCTTTAGGGGGAACCTAAAGAATGGGAGATGTTTGTCCGGTCTTAGGAGAACTGGCTGTTTTCTGATGTCCAGGGTCAGGTCCAGTAGAAGCAGCTGTGTATGTGGCAGGAGATGGAGCATCTGAAGTTTGCTTCTCTGGAGCTGTATTGGATGTACCTGGACTTGACAAGATGTAGGGAATAAGATTAAGAACACTTGGAGAAAGGATTTTTTCTAAGATGTACATTTGAAATCCAGAGGGATCCCACCCTTTGTTATAGGTAGTAAGTGGGAATTTGAGGCAGATGTACTTATCTGGATGGCATTCATGAGAGGTAGATCTGAGTAGGTTTCCTGTAGCTTATAAGTTTACAAAAGAGATAACAGCATGAGTTAACACAAGCAGTCTTTCAACTAAGTTTAGGTAATGAGGTAACAGATAGTATCTGTGAAAACTAAGCTGTCAATGTAGTCAGAAGTCTGAGAAAGAGTAAACAACAATCTACCAGTTTTATATTATTTTTAAAAAATGACAGAGTCCACTAGCCACAGTTCCCATGGTTTCTATAGTCTCTTGGGCGAAGTCAGTCTCGCTTCTAAGCGCAGAAGCAGCAGGGCTTTTTTCTGTGGAATGGATACGCGTGACATGAGAAATGACTTACCTTGTTTTAGACAAGTCATTTGACTCAGGGTATCACCAGTTGTGTTTGTCCACATACAATCTAGGCTGTATGTTCTAGGAGTCCGGCGTCCAGGTCTTCTGAAACCATCTTGGGCTAACTGTTAGAGGCTTTGGGCATTCTGTTGGCCATAAACTTAAAATATATAATTAGCAGACTTCTGACAAGATTGAGAGCCATAAGGATTGGTTGTAACTGAATAAAAATCCATCAAAACGGGTTAGGAAAGAGTCTTAAGTAACTTTGACGGGTTGTATAGGAAGAGAAAAGCACATTTTTGTATTAGCAAAGAAGCATTTTGGTTAAGACAGGAATAAGAAAGCTGGCAACAGTGGCAAATGGTATAGCTGGCAGGTTAAAGCTAGGAGCCACAGATGCCACAGGCAGGTCTGCTGGTGGCAGCAGGGCGGGACTTCCTGTTAGCAGCTGGAAGCTGCGGCCCAGTGTCTCTGGCAGCAGTGATTAAAGAAAAGCAAGTATGTCCCATATCACCCCAATGTTTACAGGTCCCAGGTGGCAGGATGTAAGGGGAAAACCCAGAGCAGAGCTAAGAATCATAGAGTGAAGGGACCAGGCGAACCGGCTGACTGATCGCAGAGGAGGCGAGAGGAGCTAGCTGGGCCCTGGACCTGCTAGCCTTCCAGGCAAGGTGCTGGAACTGAGGTTCCAGTCGACCCGCAAATGACGAAGGAGGGGGAAGGGGAAAAGGGCGAGAAAGACTGGCCCTTGGAAGAGACACAATGGGGCAGAGCCAGTGATCCTGGGAGAAAACAGTAAAGGCTCACCCGTGCAAGAGACATGTTTGGGGACTATATTTGGAGCCGGTGCTCCTGAGGCAAAGAGTCTGTCCAGGCCTGGCCTGGGGTACTCAGTGGTGAGAAACTGTCTCGAGAGGAGAGGGGAAGTGTCTCATCCAAGGGGAGCAATCATAGCGGTCCAGGCCTGGCCTGGGGTACTCAGCCACGAATGAGAGGAAGAGGGGAAGTGTCTCATCCAAGGGGAGGTTCAGGGAAGGACAGGGTTTGCTCTAGCTCAAGAAATCTTTTTTGGGACCTTGTGGGCAGTTACCACGTGGTGTCTGTCCTGTCCGGCCACTGCAGCTGAGGTCCCCGAAGTCTTCGTATCTGGGCCACAGCACCAATAAAAGAATTTCACGCGCAGCTTGGACAGATCACAGCAGACTAGATGGTTCCACGAAGGGAGGTTTATTAAGAGAGTGAGAGAGTGGGAGGAGAGAGAGAAGAGTAGAAAGAGTAGAGAAGTGGAGGCCGGCCATGACCACGTTGAGAGAGGGAGAAGGAAAGGGGGGAGGGGAAACAGCAACCTGCAGGTGCGGGGTCTCGGGGCAAGAGAGAGAGGAGGGGCCAAGCAGCCCCTTTTATAGTGGGCAGGGTTACCTGCCTGTTGCCAGGTAACTGTGGGGAGGAGTGTACCTGGCTGTTCACTCAACTTCCACAGCTAAGAGTATACTCACCAACTTCTATGGGTCTCCTCCACTGTTCAATCATAGTCGGTGTGAGCCAATTCATTGCAGCAGAGAAAGAACTAGAAACAATCAGCATGTATCGCTTCTCCATGGGGCTGAGGAAAGCCTGTACCTGTCCATCGTCAAGACAAATGGGAGGAGAACCCCAGAACCAGACATAATAGTGGTAACTAGTTGTGAGTCATGGAACTGAGGCAGAGAAACAAGAATTCCAAAGATGGAGTCAGGGACAACCATGAGAGAACACGTAGTTTTGATATTCTTCACCCTCACACTCACTAGGTAGATCTGGATCAGTGAATAGTCCCTTGAGATATCAAGTATGTGATATCAAGCCAGATGTTAGGAAAAGTCTACAGAGGCAAAATCAGCTCCATTTGCTCCAGCTTTTAACTAGTGAGAACCCGTGAGCAAGAGGATGCTTTCCAGAGAGCTGAAACAGAAAGAGAATGTCTTATTTAAAAGGAATGTGTAATTGAGCTTTGTGGCTCCTGCCTTTCATCCCAGCATCCAGGGAGGCAGAGGTATGGTCATCCTGTGAGTTTGAGGCCAGTCTGGGCTATACAAGGCATTCCAGGCCAGCAGAGGTTGTATAGTAAAAACCCTGTCTCAATACAGACTGTAATAATTGTGTTGATGTACCTATAAGAAGGAGAAGAGGCATCAGAGAACTGTCTTGGCAGAGAATAAGGTATCTGAATTAAGAAAGCACCAAAAGATGCCAAGTCAGGAATTGGTGAGTCCCTGGCTTTGGACTTTTAGCTTCTAAAACTGTGAGAAAATAAATTCTGTTAATTAGGACTCCCTACCTGTAGTTTTTTGTTTGTTTGTTTTGTTTTTGTTGTTGTTTTGTTTTGTTTTTCCAAACTCTGTAGCAGATTAACACCTGTCTCTAAGCCTCAGATCCTTTATCTGCAAAATTAGGACAATAGTGTTACCCTTGCCATAGGGTTG